AAAAATAATAAATAGTTTACACAAAAATGAAATAGAACTATCTATCAAAGCAACAAAATCATAAACTGAAAGGGTCTAACGATCAAAAAAGTATGTTTAAATTTAAACTTAATACATTTATGTATAAAATTGTATTATATATACTATTTATTAGTGAATTGTCTTAACGATACATGTTCGATAAAACATCATAAAAATCGACGATATCGTACAAGTTTTACTCAAGATCAAATAGAAGAATTAGAACGTGTTTTTCAACGTACACATTATCCAGACGTTGCAGCAAGAGAAGAATTAGCACGGTTCGTATAATACAAACTCTCTAGTAGTCTTTAAATAAATTATGTACGATAACATTCAATCTCATTTATTTGCAGGAAAACGAGATTAAGTGAAGCTCGCGTACAGGTATCTCTTTCTAAAAGTACAATCTATCTAATCTTATTATATTTCTGTCTATCAGGTTTGGTTTAGTAATCGTCGGGCACGATGGCGTAAAATTGCATCTATCCAATCGTTGCCAATTTTAAATCATTCAAATAGTCAACATCTAAAATTATGGGATACATCTCCAGGGATGATAAATCAACATTCGAACAATCATTCTACTGTACCAACATCGATGACTAGTCATAATCAACTACCAAAAGTTCAATATTCAACGCCGGTACAAACGAATGTAAATTCTGTTCCCGAACATCAATCTTATAGTCTCATGTCAGCATTTGCTGACTGTAAAAATATAAATGAAACTCAACTTATCAGTAGATTATCATCAAATTTTAATGATGTCACTAATACAGCGACGAATATGTACCGATATCCACCTGATAACGGTAAGATAAATAATTCTCTTCCTTATTGCTACTTTATATAGCACTTGCCATTTTTTATTTTTAGATTATTGTCAACTGTATCGAACACCCATATTCAACTCATCACAACAGTTTCAACAAGATTTTCGATACTGTTCAGGAATACTTGATATTCAACCATACTAATTAATTGTATTTTTTCTCTTTTTTCTCGTTAGACCCTTTCAGTTTATGATTTTGTTGCTTTGATAGATAGTTCTATTTCATTTTTGTGTAAACTATTTATTATTTTTGTCTATAAATATATAAACATTAGTCAAGTTTATGAAGTTGAATTCTTGAATTTCGTAAGTTTTAAGAAAAATTTAAACATTTAATGAACAAAGTTGTACTATACTTTTTTAATCGATTAAAGGACAAGTGTGGATACGTGGATTTTTAATCCCAAGGAATTTTCGAGAAAAACTATATGGCTGTAATCAGCGTCGAAAACTGAACAAAATGGCCGGTTAAGTTTTTCCAAGAAAACTACTTTCAATTTTTTCGAGAAATTTGAGGGATGAGGTAGACCTCAGAAACATCGAAAAATACCCTCAGAAACGGATGAAAAACACATCACTAGAATCAGAGTTCAACGCTGATTCCAAATATGTCCTTGATTTTACTTAAAAACGTCAAGGAAAACGAAAACTCAATGATTTTTGAAAAGAGGTATTTTTGACCTCTTTCAGTTTTGAGCCATCAGTTGGCTTTCAAGTGAGGTCTGGAACCTCGAAAAACACTCAGCAGTATGAAGAATTATTCACTCTATCCAAACATGTCAAATGAGAAAATAATTACTTTTGCATCAACTTTTGACTAAAAACTGAAAAAGTCACCAAAATTAGACTAATC